ACCCGGGGCTGTCGGGACGCGGCACTGCCCTTTCCCGCGGGCGCCCTCCTCCCCCGGAGCCCCAGCCGCCGTCGGCTCACAGTTGACGGTGATTTTCACTTTCCGCACGTCGGGCGCGGCCACGTCGTTCAGGGCGCTGCACTCGTAGTCCCCGGACTGGTCCCGTTTGATGTCCGAGATCTCCAGGTACTCGTCCTCGCTCACAAAGCCCTGGCCCTCTGGGGGGACAGACAGGCGGAAACAGGCGAGAAACTGTGAAACCAGGGCCCTGACTGCATTCCTGTCCAGAGCTTACAGGAGAAAGAGTACAAAGAGCCATCAAAAACGGGTTTGATTCAAAAAAAATTAAGAAAAAGGGGGGGGTTTGAACACCAAGCCAAGGATGATAGACACTGGGTTGGCCTCAACATTTGGCGCTGGAAGAAAGAAACTCCCTGCTTGAGGGTTGAATCAATGCATTTTTGTCCGCGTGACTTTAACTTTTTAGACTACTTGCTAAAAGGGGCCCCGTTAGTTTCCTGGTGGGACTATTATGAGGCTTCACTAAGAAAGCACATGTGAAACACCACAGCGCGTTACTACGCTTTGATGGTTTCTTGAAGAGAATCTCACGATCAGTAATACAATAAAAGCGAGGGGATGACGTGAGGGCGTCTAGCACGGGCGTGCCAACTTGTCACCTACGCAGCGTGCCTTTGCAGGCGGAACACAGCCGGCCGACCACCTGTGGGAGGAACAGGCGACCTCTTAACACTTTAACACAAACACGCACGAGGCAGCTGGTAGGTTTCAAACTGTCCTGGAGGAGGCGGGTGGGGGGCGAGGAATGAAAAGCCCTTCTTGCTCCGGGGCAAGTGCTCGGAAAACTCTCGCAAACAAAGTTAACCTGCGAGCCCCGAAGGACAGACCCCTGGTGACCTCGCCCCACAGTGAAAAGCCAGCGCTGACGTGGGTTGAATACCCGGCTTCCTGGGACGTTCTGATGGCCGTATTCTCAGGTGCTCACGAAGCTTGCAACTCACAGAACATCCTGGGTCTGCAGAGGCCGCATGGCTTGCAACGGCCAAGAGAGGGGAAGCAACAGAGTGCTTCACACAGAATGGGGGTCGCTGCGACCACACCACCTCACTGAGGGAGAAAATGAATTTCAAGTCTTTCTATCAATTAAGTGGATCTTGAATTTCAATTTGCAAGTAAATCCTTGTGAGACATTTTGTGTATGTGTATATATGTACGTACATACATATACATGCATACAGAGAGAGATTTGGACGTGGGGGTCCGGCGTGGCACCGGGCCTTCTGTATTGCTAGCAAGTGTCCCAGGGCGCCCGCGCCGCTGGCCTGGGGCGCACGCTCTGGTCGCTGAGGCTGCGCGGCCCCACCCGCGCTGCCAACGGCCTGCAGCCTGCACCTGGTTCCCCAGGGCTCTGGGCCTGTGGACAGCTGGTCGGCCCCGTTTCCTGAGTGCCCCTCCTGCTGGGACCCTCTCTCTGGAGGGCAGAGCTTCACAGGGCACATCCAGGCTGGACCCTTGAAGGTCAAGTTTCCTCTGAGTCTTCACGATCTTACAGTAAAACGTGCATTCACTCAAACACAGTTTCCTTTGCTAGGAAAGGCTGTTGAGCAGCCTCCCCACCTCGAGCCCATGGAAGGGGGCCAACATGCCGTTCTCTTCACTGCTTTGAGTACCAGGTGAGAGTTTTAAAGCAGAACAAATCTCGTTTGCTAAATGCCTGGAGACCCGGGAAACTCCAGGGTTGAAGGCCTTCCTCGCCCTCCCCAGGTCTGGCGGCCACGTGAAATCCTGAGTCTGCTGCTGACAACGTTTGCATCCTCTTTGCTGCCAGGAAGGCTGGCGGCTGACCACGGGGCAGAGGGAGGAGGACAGGGGCAGGACAGGAGGGAGAGGGGGAGGGCGCTCATACGACAGGAGGGAGGAAGCCGGCACAGCCACTAAGGGAACCGCGCAGCCATGAGCACCGAGGTGGTGGGAGGTCTGGCTCCAGGAGACCCTGACCTTCATCCTATGCTCATCGTAACACACGGTCATGGGAAATGGCCCTCCCACAGGCGCCGTGGCAGCTCTGAGCTGACCATAAAGGGTCACAAAGTGGGTGACGGCCCAGTTCATGGGAACCCCAGCCTCTTCCTGAAAGTAGCTGGCCTAACCCTCCCACTTGTGAGCACATGACGTCACTGGGCCCATGAAGAGTACACACCCCCACACCTCACGGCCCATCTCACCTTCCTAGACGCCCCCGCGCTGAGGCCGCCACCTCTCACCTGCCACGAGGGCCCACGCTCCACCTGCGGAACGCGCATCTCCTAGGCCTGTGGCTCTCTCTGGCCTTCGGAGACGGCCCGCACGCTGTCTGTGGAGCGTGCATCTCTGAATAAACCCACCGTCACTCTACAACGGCTCGCTCCTGAATTCTTCCCCGTGTGAAGCCAAGGACCCTCACTCGACAGGGTGCATCCCAGGGACTCGCCTGAGACCTGGGACCTGGGACCTGGGACCTGGCCATCCTCTCACGCCCCATGTTCCTGTATCACACGGGGGTGAGGAAGGACAGAAAGGCAGACGGGGTGTAGGCAAGTTGCCCTCGGAATCACAGCAGATTCTGAAAACACATTCAAAAGGGATTTTTTTTAAAAAAGACTACAAGACTATAATTTTTTTTTCTGAGAAAACGTATGAAAGCAGGAGCTCCAGGGCTGCCCCCCAGTTCTGCTTCATGGTGACAAGTCCAGCCATGAGCCTGTCACCCGGAGGCGTGGGGGCGTGTGCTGTGCATTCAGACGGCCCCGACTGGCGCGACCGGAGACAGAAGCGAGTGGGCTCTGAATCCCTGGCAGAAATATATTAAAAAGCAGGGGCTCTTTTTCCCACAGAGGAGGCTTGGAAGGAGGCAGGTTCGATCCACTATATTAGCGAGACGAAGTTCTGCAAGGACACAAACGGGCCATTTATCGGGGGCTGTGGGAGGTCCCTGGACCAAGACCCCCAGGGTGCAGGGTGCGTGCCTGGGGTTGGGCCGAGCCCGGTGGGCACGGGGGGCCTCCCTGCAGGGATGCACATCCTGGCGTGACAGTCACAGAACGTAGGGAGCAGGGTCGGCTCCGTCTCAGAAGCCCAAGGGCAGACCCACTCCTGGGGACCAAGGCTCCCTGGCCCCACCTGCTGTCCCAGATGCCCCCTGTGGGTATTTCACTCACCCCTGCCATGAGGAGGGGCTGGGCTGTGCGCTGTGGGCTGGAGAGGCAGCAGGAGGCCAGGGCCTTGACCGTGGGGAGCCCGCAGTCCATGGGCCTGGAACCGGGGGACTTGGCCTTTTCCTCCCCCAGGCTCCGCTTCCATTCTTAACTGTTTTGAGGTCCCTCTAGTGAGGGACGGCGGGTTGGACTTGGGGACTGGAGATGGAGGAGCCCCCGGGCATCGGGGATGAAGAGCGCGACGAGGAAGTCCAGGGAAGATCCGGGCCCTTCCAGACCCTCTTCCCCGCTCTCCCTTCGTGTCCTGTCCCTCTGCACCAGCTGTTTCTCAGCCGCCACTCCTGGCCCAATTGTCCCTTCCTTTCCTCAGCCAGTTCCTCAGAATTATCGAGCTGGAAGTACCCTGAAGGTCAACAGTTTCAGCCTTCCACCTTTTGAGAAAGTTGTCCCTGACAGACTACCCCCACCACCGTGCGACGTTCCCCGGGGACAATTCCAGGCGCGGCCCGTTCCTGCGCTAGACTGTTCATGTTACCTGAGACCCTGTCCTCCCAAGGACCCAAGCCCTGCCTGGCCCCTCCCTCGGGAAGGACTAAAATTCGCCAGCGAGGTGCCCGGCCGCTCCATCCTTCCTCATCAGCCACCGAAAGCGCCGCTCTGTCTGGGGAAGATGCTCTGTGAGGTAAAAGGTTAGCACCTGTCACAGCTTCTGCCAAGGGACCTGTCAGGGGTGAGTCACAGTAACACAGGCCAGGGGCAGGCGCCAGGGGGAAGGGGGTGGGAGGGGGTGAGAAGGTCAGGAGGCGCCGGCACAGGGACAAGAGGGCTTGGGGAAGAAAGGCCCGAGGAAGCAGAGCTCGGGTGAGTGAGGAAGGACGTGGCCAGAAGGAAGCCAGGGGGGCGGGGAGCGTGGGTCACTCAGGGGCCGTGGGCGCGCGGGGCAGGGCTTCTGAAAAGACAAGAAATGAGTGCCCTGCTGCCCAGCCAAAGGCGCTCCTGTAGACCATTGCTACTGGTGCTGGCCTTGGACCTGGAATCAGATGCCCAGAGGACCATGTGCACCTGCCAACCTGCGAGGCTCCGTGATCGACCTTGGAGAATAGATGGTCTCTTGCCCATTCGCCAAAGCTGGGCAGCCGGTCACACTATCAAAGAACTGGCTTTACTCCTGTAAGGAAGGTGCTGTGTGCTTAGAAAAAAGTGCGGGTTGATCGGCATGTTGTGTACTTGCTGGAAATCCTGCCTTCAGGGTCTGGAGCCAGACAAGGCCAAGGAAAGGAAGTGTCGGAAGCGGGCCCCTCCCTCTGCTTCTGTGCCCTCGAGGTGCCCAGGACAAGGTAGAGGTGTGTGCCCAGACCCTGCCGCTCAGCCCTCCCTCTCTCCAGGATTCTGGCCAGGAGACACCATCACCATCACATATAGTGAGTCACCAGCAGGTCAGAGCGGCAGCCTCCCTGCTGTCGAGCTGGCCTGCAGGCTGGGCTTGGCGTCTGAGAGGACAGGGCTCCTGGCCTTCTCCCTCTGGACTCAGGACAGCTGGGCACGTGCAGTGGGAGGACTCAGCTCCAGGACTGACCACAGGCCGGAAACTGGACCTGAGAGCAAGGGCTGCCTTGACGGAGAGTCCAGGGTTGGCAGGACCTCCGGGACCCAAGCGAGTGGACCAGGAGGGGAGGGTGATGGAACCAGCCTCCCTTGTGGGCAGGCAGTGGCCTCCTCCCTGCTTCCCCAGGTCCATGGCTGTCTGAGCAAACCCCCTTCCCATAATACTGGCCACCCACCTCCCACGGTGGGGGCAGGAGTGAGGGCACGGAGGAGCGAGCACAGGGGAGCTACCTGCCCCTGTCTGGAATCCACAGGCTGGGAATAGGGTCCCCCTCTTCCTCCAGCTCCCCTGGCATCCTCTCCATCACATACCCCCAGACACCAGAGCCTCCTTCTTTCCCAAGACAGAAACCTCGGAACATGCCTGAGTTTGGAATGGGGGCAGGTGTCTGAGCAGG